TATTTGGTATGGTATTGGGGAGTAAAATTTTAGAATTATGGTATTCGGGTTTGGGTTCGGTATGAGACGTTAGTACCATTTGGTATTCGGTATTTCCCGAATACCAAATTATTTACTTAATGAAATATATCAACATATCCATTACAAGTCCAAAGAGAAAGTTAAAGAATAAGAATGAATAATCCAAATATATGTCTTTTAGTTATATCAATTTCATTTTCTTGATGTCTTCTTACTTGTTGATCTTCTATTATATCGTGCGTCCACATAAAAAAATTGATTGGAGAAATAGTATTAACTTTGTAATACAATAGGCTATAACTTCAATATGGTATTACTGAATACCGTACCAAACCGAAGTTTAATTTATCGTTTTTCGATTACCAAATCAAAATTTAAAGATTTGATATCTACATTAAACTACCAATTATCGAATTATCAAACCCGAAATTTGAGAAACCCGGACTGAATACCGAATGCCCATCCCTAGTGTTTAGCTCGGATGTACTATGTCGTTAAATAATAAGAAAAACGATAGTTTTTTAATGTTTAGCAACAAAATGTGATCGTCATTAATTCAAACAACAATAATGTAATGATATGACATGCATCTAGGTCTAATTCAACCCCCAACAACTAGCTCATGAGGGGAGAATTGCTCAAGTCCATTTGAAGATTATTCATCTCATGATTAGCCATCGATGTGAGACTTTTTCATTCTTTAGTACTCCACCTCACGTCCATGGTTTGACATCTGAAACATGGACAATTTAATTTGGGTTCCCAACAATAGGTGAAATGAGTCCTGCTCTGATACCATGTAAAGATATGACACCTAGGTCTAATTAACTCAACACCAAAAGTTAGTTCATGAGAGGAAGATTGTCCAAATCTATATAAGCAGGCCGCTAGTGATCTATTCTCCAATCAATGTAGGACTTTAACTCACTCTAACATCTTCCCCCACCCCTCCCTTCTTCACGCTCAAGTCCAACTATAGCGTGGATCAGGAGGCCAAAAGGGGATGTACTTTTCTTTTATATATACCATGTCAAATTAGGTTTTGACCCTAACTCACACCACACAGTGGTATATCTATCATGCTATTAGAGCCAGGTTCATTCATCTTTGGGGTTCCGATCCATGCACCAGTTCATCATGGGTGTAAAAGTGTTGTTAGAGCCCCAAATTGGTTGGAGAATGAACTAGTGACCTGCTTATAGATGGACTTGAATAATCCTCTCCTTGTGAGCTAGCTTTTGGAGTTGAGTTAGACTCAAAATTCATTTTTTTTTTTTACAGAATACATACCCACTGTAATTCTATAGGTGAAATTTTGGAATAATAGAGTGTACATAAACTTTATTCTTACCTTATAAAATAAAGTTATTATTTTTTATAGATTTTTAACTCAAATAAAGTATTAGTAAACAATTGATAAAAGGAAATACGAAAATAAAAGGCTACAAATTGTAAATGCTTTGCTATGAACCTTAGTGTATGCCATGAGCAAAAAGATATATGCCTTGGTTAAGTAAACCTAAAATTCAGGAGCTTTAGGGAATTGCTTTCACCAAAGCCAAGTAATGAACTCCATTAAATATTGTAATATTCATTAAAGAAAAAGGTCCTACAAACAAAAATAATAATTAAAAAAATACAATCTTGTTTTATATCAAAGTTTTACATGGTGTATGGAATCTTAAAAGTGTCTAAGATGACAATTTAATAGAAATGTATTTACTTAAACAATGAAAATGAGCTGCACATGGTGTTGATTAGGACCACATTGTCGTTTTATTATGACAATAAAAGATTTAGGTAATCATGTCACTTATCTTTTCTTTATTTTGTTTTCTCCCAATGATTTCTTTTTTAAGTTCTATAAATTAACGATGTAAAATATATTTGTACAATCAGGTTATTTATATTTCTTCACATTGTAATACAAGTAAATTTTATCTAATTGATAACAATGACACAATAGTAATTTAAAATAATACATACACCCCACCGTTTGCTTATTGACCCGCAATATAAAGGGCATTTGGGACCTTTTTGTGCTTCGATACTCTGATCAGGACCCCCTATCAGGACTACATATTAATAAGCGAAGGAAAAGAAACTTTCGAAGAATAGCAATATGAAAGAGAAAGAAATCCCTTTTTTTTGCTCAAGGCACTGAAGTTCCTAGGCAAAGATCAATATCATTTGATTCAAGAGAATTCTTTTCACTATTGTAAAAGCCTATTTTACCTTGCCTTCTGATTCGACTCTATTGTTAGCTAGGGTAAGTTAATTTTGAAAAATTCCATGCACAAATCGAATTTCAGGCTATAACTTACTTGCATGAAGTCAAAATCATTAGTAATATATAGAACAAACAAGAGAACAATCCACTCTTAGAATCTAAACAGTTCCACCGTCCAAATTATAGTTTGGTAAATCTCTATGAAAATAGATGATAACTAACTTGTTATATAGTACATTCTTTATATTGTTAGTATATCATCTTCGATGCATTCTTTCTTAGTCTATTTTCTTTGTTAACTCACTAAATACTACTACTTTCCTTCGTTCATATTTACTTGTCTATATTTAACTTGACATACCCTTTAAGAAATAACATGATAAGTTTACTACAACATCCTAATTATAATTAGTATAACTCATTTAAATATTGAAAAATGAATAGTACTTAATAAAATACTACTCCCTCCGTCCACTTTTAATTGTCATGTTTCGCCTTTTGAAAGTCAATTTTTACTAATTTTCAAAGTTAAATTAGATTACATTAATTCGATAGTTTAAACAAAAAAATAGATATTAAAAACTATACGAAAAGTACTATAAATTACAATTTGTTGCATATTAATATGATGAAAAAATACATTGTAAAATATTAGTCAAAGTTCTTATTATTTAATTCTATAAAAGAAAACCATGACAATTAAAAGTGGATGGACGGAATAGTATATTAATCCCTCTAAAATTTCTTTTTTTAGTGCCAATTCTACTTTTATTTACAAGATAATCATTATAGATCAAGTGGAATAAGGCCCACAATAATTCTTTTTGGGCCGGGACAGCGCAAAATTTAAATAAGTCCATTGAAAAAATAGCCATTATTCTGAAATTTCGACTTCGACAATTGAACGATAACGTTGTAAAACTTGAAACTCTATAACATTAACTATTTTATTTTAAGGATGTGGTTCTAAAAACGATCAACTAAAGTTGTTTCTTCTTCAATAACGTATTCAATATTTACTCGATCCGTCTTAATTTATAAAAGTACAATATTATATTGAATACTCCCTCCATATCAACTTGTGATCTAAAACAAGTCTGAAAAATTCTACGGCTATGAATTATTTTATTAAAAATAAAGTGAAATATTTAAAATTAAACTATTATAAAATACTTAAAAGGGAGAGTATTATATAAAATTGGGAGTTAAGAAATAATATTGAATAAATTTATAATGTTATTGAACTTAAATTAGTTTTTTTTTCTAAAAAAAAAAAAGGTACAGGGTGCAGACGTGCTCACGTGCAATGCACGTGGCACACAATTCAATGAAGATCATGTGGTTTAAGTCATAAAAGGCCTCAACTTTTTAATTTTGTACTTTCACATACTTTAGTTTTTATTTTATCTTTTTTCAATTTTCACGTGAAGACTTTTGCACTAATAATAATTACATGTTCTTTCTCATACATGTGGAGCATACACGATCATTATCCTTTTTAATTAATGTTTTGTTTGTACATAAAACAATAAAAGTTCTAAAAGATAATGTAAATTTGAAGTTGGAGGAAAAAATATTAAAAGTTTGAAGTTTTGTTAGGGTTATTTGATTATATAGATGTATCTTAATATAATTAGAGATGCATCGTAATATAATTATTGTCATGAATTATTTGAATCGGAACAACTTTATCGTCGGTTATATTTAGAATCTAATCAGAGATGTTTTTCATCAAAATGCTTTTTGGAAAAACAAGTTGGTTTACTCATGTTTAGTTTGTGAGGGAAAAATATATTTTTCTAATATTTGGTTGGTGATTGAACCAATATTGATCCGGGATCAGACCCCGAGATTCAAGATTCGACCAGAACCTCACCCCGACTCCCAACTCGGGACCCGACATTCAAACTAGGACCCACCCCTGCCCCGCCCCCAACACCTAAACATGTACATGACCCAAATGATCGATCCAAAATCCAACCTCGACACCTGATTCGAGACCTAGCGGTTGACCTTGACTTTCCATCCAAGACCCGACATTCGAATTGGACTCAACCCTGACCTCGATCCCGACATCCGATTTGAGGTCAATCCCTACCTGTGGTCCGATACCCGAATCGAGACCTTACTTCTGAACTAAAATTCAACCCTGACATCCAACGCAAGCTCCGACTTTCGAACCGAGATCTGACCCCAAACTTTCGACCTAGGACTCAAAGGTTGAACCAGGACAAAACACCAACACCTAACTTATTTTCCATACTTCCACCAAGAAAATCATTTCCCTAGTTTATAAAAACTGTTTTTTCTAGAATAATATTTTTTTCATAATATTTTGATCATCCAAATATATTTGGTATGAGGATAAATATTATTAGGAGAATAAGTAATTTCTTTTACTTATCCTATTGTGTGTGGTAAGTAAGCAGAAGAAGACTATTCTACTCAACTTTTGACATTAGCAAATTAAATTAATCTGATAATTTTAGGATCAAAAGAGTAGGAAAACACCATTAAATTAGCAAAAAGAGAATGAAAATGTCTGTGAAATACAACCTATCTATCTTTATAAAAGATGGCATACACACTACTCTTTCCAAACTTCACTGCAAAATGTGCAAGAGGTACAATATATATTTGCTAGCCTAATGTATACAACTAACTTAAGCCATGCACCTAACAATTTTAACGTATATATTTGCTACCAACTATTATTATTCTTATATGTTACATAGTATATATTTGCTACCAACTATTATTATTCTTATATGTTACATAGTTTTTATACAGTGTTATAACCTCTCTCCCAAAGTACAATTCAGAAAAATCCTGCGTACAACGCTAATTATTTGTTCTCACTATATTGTAGGCACTTTACAATTTACTTGAATTCTTGCCTTCTTGTTTAAGTTGTTGGATTCTCTGATGTAGCCTTCTCCGATGATCGTGGATTTTCCAGAGTCCGTGTCCAAGAATTACAGCAGAGTATATTCCATGTGTGATTATAGGTGCAAGAATGTTGTTTGTCTGTTGCATCCACAAGAACAAATAAGCTATAGTTACCCAAATTTCAGAGGCGAATCCAACATCTCAACATGACGGTTCAACTTTTAAGATGTTCAGTATTGATCTCATAGTTCAGAAGCGTTTATATTCGTTGGAACCTTAGTGGTTTCTAAACATATGTGTCTACCCTCCCGAATCCATCATTTAAACTTGATGGGTTCAATCCTTGAGGTTTTAAGCACTCAACTAGTCAATAGTTATGAAACTATGAGTTCAAAAATTGACATTTGTTGAAACATCGTGGTTTTGACACGTATGTGTCTAACCTCCTAAATTTCATGTAGACACTACCTTTAAGTATTAGCAGAGGCAGATCCAATATTTAAACTTTGACAGACTCAACATTTTAAGATTTTTAGCATTGAACTCATCGTAGTGATGAAACAATGAGTACAGAAGTCAGTGTTCATTGTAATTTTGGTGGTTTTTCACGTATCTGAGTACCCTCCATATCAACGATAGTAGATTTAGTTTAACCCATAAAAACTGTTCCGTTCGCCTCTGAGTACAGACTAGCAAGTACAAATAAACACAAACTGAATTTATGTTACCTGGATCCATTCAAACCCAAGGTAAAGGGCTAGTATTGCTTCCAGTAAAGGAGAATAAATCTTCTTCATCTGCCGCCTCTCGTACCAAGCTGCAAAAACATGCAGGTAGAGGGGAAAAAAATTAACATATCACGCGATAATATGAGCTGGACTATTCAGGATTATTTTCGTTAAAATGCACTCGTAATAATTAACTCTGCTTCCATTCTCTCCTTGGTCTCTTTTGGTGATATCCTTACACAGAGGGGGGGACTCTCCATATATGGTAACACCTGTGTGTTTGGTACCAAGGAAAATGTTTTCCACTGGAAATGTCCTCTCAGAAAATATTTTCTTATTTATTTTCTAGTGTTCGGTAAAGTACGCAGAAAATAGTCTGAAAAACGTTTATATATATCTAGAAATACTACCCTTAGCCTTAAGTGGTATCATGTATTTATTATAAATTTAGATAGCTATTCTTATACTGAAAGGCTTGAGAAGTCCCAATGGAATAAGGGGAAGCATGTTTTTGTCACACTCCTTGCCTCCCAAAGGTGCCTAGTGACGGGCAAGATGCAGCAGACCGACAACTAGGAGGCACGTTTAGAATCCTTGCAACGTAACTATGATACAAAGCTTCTTGGTTGCTGACAAACCCTATGCCTTTCTTTGATCCAAACTAACTTGTGACTATTTTATTTTTGTTGGTCAGCTGGTGGATACAGACTAGGCTAAGGGAGATACTTCATCTTTTCTCTTCCAAGTTGATATCGGCTGTCCTTAATCCTTTATATCTCATTAGCTTTAGTTCTCATAGCATTATGTTAATTAGGTTTTGAACACCATGAGTGAGCATTGTCTTAGACCATCTTCAACCCCATTCTATTTTACTCTATATTTGGAGAGTAAAATAGAGAATTGAGTCTCCAACCACTCTCTAAAATCCCTCTATTCTCTATTTATAGAGAAGTGAATAGTAGTTCTCCAAATTCTGAAAATGACCTACCGGATTACTAAATTATTGTTGTGATTTTAAAAATGGGAAAATGCATAAGTACCCCAACCTGCCTGAAATCTCAGAGACACACTTATACTATACTAAGGTCCTATTACCCCTCCCACCCAACTTATTTTGTAAATAATTTTCTATCCCTTTTCGGCCTACGTGGCACTATCTTCTGGGCCCAGTGCGTGTTGACAATTTTTTTTAAGCTTTCTGGTTGATAGTGCATGTAAGCCGAAAAGGGGTAGAAAATTATTTATAAAATAAGTTTGGGGGAGGGGGTAATAGGACCTTAGTATAGTATAAGTGTATCTCAGGAATTTCGGGCATAGATTGGGGGGTACTTATGCATTTTTCCATTTTTAAAATCACAACAATAATTTAGTAATCCGGTCCGGTAGGTCATTTTCAGAGTTTAACAATATTCGGAAAAAAGATAGTGTATGATCTAGAGAATTATTGTGTTTGTGATTGCGGTTATGCTTGTTGATTTCTTTTTTCAATTTTTCGTAGTTGTTCTTTAAAATTTAGAATAAAATATAATTTTATACTAAATAAAGAATTTTTTTTTTTAAAATAATTTTATATTACATGAAATTTATATAGGATGATTATCTTGAAAAGAGAAAGAACGGGTTCATATTATGAAATAAGAAAATGAAATAGAAATAGAAATAATATTATAATATTGACGAGAGATAAGAAGATTCTTTTTTAGAGAGTAAAATAGAGAATTGAGTTGGAGTTGATTGTATGAAAAAATAGAGAACTCTATATTTGGAGAGTAAAATAGAGTGTATGGTTGGAGATGCCCTTAACTTTGCCATGAGCAGAGAAGAGGGGTCAAACCTGCAAAGAGTTTTTTCAGATCTTCACGACCTGAACGCGACTTCAGCACTGGTGCAACAATATAGGTAGGATCTGAAAGTGAAAACAACAAACAGCCAAATGATTGTGTTTAAGCATGCAAGAGCAGAGGACAACGAAGGATCTCAAAATGCAGCCTATGAAACAGACCTTTTGGAGAAGCAGCCATATAATATAAAGAACCAGTAAGAGCTGCTGTCATTACAGCTGCAAATGCTTGAGCAAATGGTACATAAGGTGGCAAAACACCAGTCTACAGTTTAAGGAAACAGAACGTGTCAAGGCATCAGAAAAATTTGGATATTTTGTAACTTGGGAGTCTGAGTATGTTGCTCAGACTCTTCAAAAGCATCGATGGATGCATGTCGGGATCCTCCAAAAGTAGTGTATTTTTTGAGGATCAAACATGGGTGTAACAACATTTTTGGAGAGTCCAAGCGATGATTGGAGAAGGATGTTAGAAATAGAATCCTTACCAATGATGCCATCCCTCGAGCATCAGTCACCAAATCAGTGCTCCTTAAGAAAATGTCAGCCAAAGCTCCCTGTAAGTGCAAATGTAGTCAGATAAAGCGGCTGAAAAAATTACTCCCCCCTCTTAAGGTCTATGTACAATAGTCAAAACATCTAGTTTTCACGTGAGTTGTTCATCGAATCCCTTGATATTCTAAGAAATAAAATTTACAGATTCAGAAACTAAACAAAAGTACTCTTATATTACAGTTTCTAATATTAGAAAGAAAAAAAATTAGAACCTGTTTGAACAATTGTAGTCAGAACTGTCCGATTAGCAAATAATAGTGCCATAGGTGTAAAATGGGATAAAGAAAGAAAACTCTTCTGACAGGTATTTTCTTGGAGCTTTCGCAATTTAAAAAGTCTACTGTGTAGTTAATAGAAACCTAAAATAATAGAAACTTAACCAAATGGATTTCATTTCAGGTATATGCTTTCAGATGATGAGAAATGCAGGGTTTGCACTATCAATAAAGGAACACTTAAAATGGAAGGCTGCAAATAAAAAAGGCAGTTCAACCTTTTGTGTGAAATAAAATAGATCATTTACACTAACCTGAACAGCAGCACGGTAGAAAAGTTCCTCTCCAACAGAGCTAGCAGCGACAATCAGAATGAACTACAACATTGCAACACAATCTATTAACCTTTCCCTTTTTTGCAACAGAACTGCTGAATGCTGATGATGAAAGTAATAGATGTTTTACCTGCCAAGGTGACATTCCATAAAAGAAGTTCCGTAGCTCTTCATCCTCAACATCCCTGATTGCTCGCGCATGAGGAGATAGCTTCACAACTTCATCCTATTAACACACATGATTTGTTATAAAACAACAATTATATAATTGAGGAACCTCAGATGGACAAAGCTAGAATGGCTACAATATATAAGGCTAACATTTTTGCATTTTCACACTAAGAGTTAGTGAAGGCATGTGTAGATAGAAGAAACTAAGCCAGGGTAAAGATGCTAAAAATGTTGTTAGATACTCTATAAAGAAAATGGATCTTAAGCTTAACATAAAAAATTAGCTTATTAAATGAGGATCATCCAAAACTATGTAAGGAGACAACAGACGATTCCCTCAACCAATGTGGGACATTTAACACCTCTAGCACGCCCAAGATTAGACATCTGGTTGTGGTCCTTGTGGATAATATAACACTAGGGTCTAATATTGGGTAAACCAAAAGCAAGGAGAGTGTTGCGCTTATAAATCGTGAAAAAGGGACCTTTAAACTAACTCAACACCGAGAATTAGCTTATAAGGTAAGGTTACTGTGACAGAAAGAAAAATGGGAAAAGTTGAACATACATCTAGTATAAATAGAAGAGCCATAATGGGTGGAACTGCATATCCTAGTCCTTCAACAATGGCATCTAATGATGGACTGAACCCTCCTGTGCAGTCAATTCCAGATATTGAGCATATGAACTTTCCGGCTAAAGCCATTGCTCCATAGATGCCTGAGTTCATAAACAAACTGAACATCAGAAAATGATTGCAGGACTTCATTTTTCGTCTGTAAACCTATCCAAAAAATTTAATAGGATGGGACTCATAGAAGGCTGAAAGAAATATATGCAACAAATATATGTAAACAAACACATAAATACATTGGATCAAAAAGAAATGACTGTCTAACTTTTTCGGTTTAACTATTTAGCATTCAAAGCTCACTAGAATGACTAATCCGAATTCATGTATGTTAAGCCCATTCAAGGACTAAAGACGCTCTTTACTGAAAGGTTCTCTGTTTTAGGGGAACAAATTCGAGATCTTAGTTAAACGTGAATGGATCTCATAAGTGGCAGGGCCATAATTTTCACATAAAATCAATACCACCACTTATTTTCCTTGAAAAATTTCCATTAAAACATTTTCCTTCATACACACCAGACATATTTTAATCTAAACAAAGTTCATTTCCAAAATTTCTCCTAAAAAGATTCATCCAAACATATTTTGTTATAAACTTTACTAAAATTTTGTGCATACACTAATATTGAATGTGGGTGAGTTTTTACCCCTTGTCATTATTATCTTCTTACTTTGTGGCCTCATTTCCTAGTCAAAAAACTTAGATCTCTTTTCCACTGAGAGATTTATTAATAGCCAAGCATGAGTAAAAGCCTAAAATTTTATCTTCTATTCTTTCCCAAAGATTTTCATTTATAGTACTCCTTACTACTTCCCTACAATCCTTTCCTAGACATGAAACAAAGTACTTTCTCCATCCCAAATTATACTATGCACTTTTGAGTATGAAGTTTTTTTAAAAAAGGAAGATTTTAAGGATTTATGATTAAATTAAATTATTACTTATATTTATGAGATTATACATTCTCTTACTAAGGGTAACATAAAAATCTTAAAATTAATATTGTTTCTGAATTTAAAAAATATATCAAGGGTACCACTTACCATGTGAGTATGTGACTAGACACATGATTAAAGGAAGAAAATCTTAGCCCTTCCACTTTTAGAAGCACTTTAATGACATAACAGAAAGCAAAAAATATATTTGCCAGAAAAATCCTTTCCCTTTACTTGAAATTTCTCTATCACTATAAATTCACTTTCTTTGAATAATTTTACTCATCAAAACTTAAAAGAGTTTGAAATATAAGTATATATAAATCCTAAAATAATTTTGCAATCTATTTATGATGTGTGGTCCGTATCGTATTATTGATTCTTTTTATTCTCAAAGCCTATGTTGCTCGCACTATTTGAAAATATCTTTAGATGCTTGTCAAATCTTCTAAAAATGCATTACTTTTTTAGAAAGGCCGAACAACAGTGCTTTGAGAATGAAAAGAATCAATAAATAATATCTCTCATTCATGGTATATAGTAGTAATGATTAGAACGAAAAGCCACCACCAAATGACATGAAAATTCACTAAGATTTAAGTTTATGGATTCTGAATTTTAAGATAGGACAATTTACTATATTCGTGCAGCTTTATTAACTGATTTTTACCAAAAATGCAGAAAATTGTGTAAAAGCGGAGTACTAAAACGAACTCACCGATTCCATAACTGAGTCTGACAACAGCACCGATTTTCTCCCAAACAGGTAACTGCGCATCACTGAAGCTCTGATTGAATGTAGTCACCTCCATAGTAGACCCCGTGTATCCTACTCCTCCATTTTCGCTCTCCCGAATTTCAACTGATGACGCTTCGCCGGTACCTGACTTCTCCGCCATAGCTTTAATCCTCACCACCGAAAGTTTCTCATTATAATTCCTCTTATCTCGATTATTCCTAATCGGAAAATCGCATAAACTCACTTTACATCCTAAAAACGACGTCGTCGATGGAGTATTCGTACATCGAGCTATCAACGGAAATTCCATATTTACAAACTCTACGGTCTAAACTGATAAGCGAATCGGAAAATGAGCAAACGGCGTCGTTTTGAGCTGTCGTCTCGCTGTTAGAAAGTTGCTTCAGCTTCTTCTCCGGCGTTGATTCACGGAAATAAAATTGTTGTTTCAGCTGCTTCTCCGGCGTCGTTTCACCGCGATAAACTTGCTTCAGTTAATTCTCCGGCGTCGTTTCACCGAGATATACTTGTTTCACGGCGATAAGGTAACTGTTGTTTCAGCTGCTTCTCCGGCGTCGTTTCACCGTGAGAAAGTTGTTTCAGCTTCTTCTCCGGCGAGCAAGTTGCTTCAGTTTCTCCGCCTTCTTCTTCGGCGTCGTTGTGCATATAGTAATGAAAAAAGTTATTTTGGAGTAACAGCCGTTGATTTTGATAATTTGAAGTCAATGTTTTCTGATTTGATGTGATTGTGTAATGAACGGTGTTGATTTGAGGGAGGTTGTAAGGGTGGGGTCCAGTTATATATGTGTGACTGTACTTTAAGAGGGATATCTAGGTGTCCAATGTAAATGTGCCACGTGGAGATAATATGATATATTCTAGTGGACAAAATTGGACAGAGGGAGATTTTGGGAGGATAAAATATATGGTAGATAAATTAGGAAAATAATTCCAATCAATTTTTAGGGCCTCTACAATTTTATTTTAATTTTACACATGCATGTTACTGTTTAATCTTAAATTGATAAGTTGAATTTATATACGTAATTTAAGAATACTTTGAGTTTGTTGGCTGGACAATGGTTTTTAAGAAACTTCTCGATCTTGTTTGTATATTACCAAATAATCATAGTCACAATATGGTCAACAATTTTTGTTGGTATTTTAACAATTCAAGAAATGATGAACTACGCCAACGTGTTTCATCAGCTTATAAAAAAATCTCAATTATTGCCATTTAATACTTAAAGATTTAAATAATTGAAACATGACACTAAGTATAATTATTGTAAGATTGATATATAGTAGTAGTTGCCAACTTTTCTTTGTCTTTGCCCTTTTGGCTATTCTTTTTAGTAAGTATTAAAGTTGTAAAGATCGGGATGGTTCTGATACAAAGTTGTTGACCGATAGATGGCATTTATTGTCAATATTACGTATATTGACTTATGCTATTCAAAAAGAGTGTCTTTGCTCGTTCCTTTGTTAACAAGTCTGCTATCCTATTCTCCTCCCTAAATATGTGCTTGATAGTTATAATTGATTTGCAAGTGGTGTCCCAACTTCTTGTATTGGCCGTGGATGAGTTTATATATAAGGAGGGTGTATTGCATTACATGAGAGGGGAGGTTGCCTAGAGAGGCTTTTGCTAAAATAGTACGCCAAATCGTATTAATAAATTTGATTTTTCACCTATTCAACTTTGATTGTATCAAAATCGCTATGGACTATATAAGGAGGGTGCATTGCATATTGTCATGAATAATAAATTGGAAGTCGCTATGGACCAACCCTGAGTGGAAGATGGGAAATCCCAAATATTTTCCAAAGGAATATTATCTATTAGCCTGGATGTTGAACATGTTAGCACACATGTCTTTGTGTTTAGCACTATTATTATTGATTGGTGGAGAAGATGACTTTGGAGTTATGTACTTGTGTTCCTACGTGATATGCAAGGTGAACACTTTGGGGTCGTTTGATTAGTAATATGAAATAGTCAAAAATATTTTATGGATTACCTATTTCAATCTACTATTTTAATTAATAGAAAATGGTTATCACTATTAATTAATATCTATAATCAAACATTTGAAATAAAATAATTCTAAATTTTATCGCAGATTAGTTATTCTTTATCCCATTAATCAATTAATGACGACTCCTTAGAGTATAATTTACAGGTTTACACTTATAAGTTATATATATATATATTGTACAAAAACTTATTATTATTATTATATGTTAATTTAAATTAGAATAACAAATTTATAAACTTTATATCTTTGATATGTCCTCGGGCTATAATCTAAGTATGTTCATCTAGATTATAAGGAAAATGAAAATGGATATAAATATAAAAATTGACATTGGTTGGTGGGAAATGTGGGGAATTTTAGTAGTTCATTTGGTTGCTTCTTACTGGTGAGAGTTTGAGTCTTCACCTTGTAATCTCTCTCTCATTTTTCCTTCGTCTATTATCAATTTTTTAAAAATAAAATAAAATAAATTATATTAGCACTGCTTACAAAAAACTCTATATACGCATTAGTGTGTTGAGCTTGTCCACATGGATAATAATCCTAGATGAAAGATGGGATTAAGGACTATAGTAAACTCCACCAACATAAAACTAATCAATTTATGATAAATTCTCACAATTGATCAAGATAATAAAAAAATTACAATATCATCATATATGTATATCGAAGTTAAAACCCTAAAATAATTGGTCTAGATGTGGATAGAATTATTCAAAAAAGAGGAGAGATATATGGAAAAATCTTAACAGTTTTGGAAAAAGTCTTAACATAAAAGCTCAGATTTGTTTTACATCTTAACAACCCCAATAAATAAGTGCACAACTAAACAAGTAAAGATAATAAGAAAACCAAAAATCATTTCTCCTCTCAAGTATGGATCCCTTTGATTCTCTTGTTGTAAGTTCATTTCTTGAAACTTATCATTTTTAATTTGGTGTATATATATATATATTGTTTATATCCAATGCTCTGTATGTATCTGTTTTACTTTTCTGACTAAGTGTATTTATGAGTTCGCTAAAACATGTATACATGCTTGTGGTTTTTTTTATATTCTACCGATAGTTTGGATTGATTAATTTTTGTCATCACAATTCGACTTTAGCAACCTATGGGATCCACTCTACAAATACCATAAAATCTCAAATTTTGAGATATCACATCAACCCCATCACCACTAGTTTTAAGTTATAAGGTGCCACTAGTTCTCAAAACTTGATTTATTTTATGTTTATCAATTGAAGTTTACTTTCAAGCACATCATCAATCTCTTAATCTTCTTCGGACTTCAAATCTCCCGACTCGTCACATAAGACCCATTAACTTCTTATCATGTTTTTTTGCGTGACTCGAATTTAAGCTAGAGACATCTTATTTAAGAGTTAAAAAAGATTATATCCATCTCATTATAATTTTTTATGGTGTATAATTATGATAATGTTTTTCATTCTTATTATATATTTTTTATAACTCTTTTATTATTTGGTTTATTTATCTCTTGTTTAAGGTGAAACGTATTGAAGGAAAAGAGAAGTTGAAAAAGAAAATAATTAAAAGTCAAAAATCAGTATCAATATGCTGCAAAGGAGAAGGGAAATTTGTTCCAATGAAAGTGGCAATTCAAGAAGCTTCATCCAAAAATTCACTATTGGAAAGAATTAATTCTCTTGAGACTCGACTTTTTCAGGTAAAATATTTTTCTCCAATTTAATCATCTGGGTTTTAATTTTTATATATTGATAGTATAAATAATTTTTAACGTTGCTAGATCATCTAAAAATTAGTTATAGACAATCACATTTTATTAAAATAACACATTGATATTTATTGATTATTCTTAACACTCCAATGCAAGTTTTGAGATTAATTTCACGAATGATCATTTAATTTTTTATTTTATTTCACTAAGGTCGTTAAGTTAATTTTATAATTAAAAAAAGCATTCAACTTTTTCTATTATCACAAAACTTCACTAAGTAATTATTTGTAACAAAAAATTGCTTTACTTTGTCTAAGTATCATAAAAATAATATTATGCATGTCCACCATTACCATGATTTCTTTTATTTTCTCCTAGTGACTTTTTACGACCTTTTAATCAACCACCTCAAGTTTGAACTGTGAGAAGATACTTTTTTGATAATGATCTTTATACGATTACAAATATAAATTAGTTAGATTTATCAATAAATTTCATGTACTTGATAATTAATTAAACAAACAAAAAAAAGAAGCTCAAATCTTAATAGTATTATATAATTAAGTTGTTGTGATAATTAATCATATTTATTAATGCAGCTGTGCCTGGAAATTGAAAATGCAAGAACATCATGCAGCTCTTCATCAAATATACAGACTCCATTTGCAGAAAAATCAAAAAATAATGATGCCAAGAGACAAGCAGCTTCTTCTTATCCAATTTTTGATTTTTCACAGGTAAGTTTGTACATTTAAATTTACATTTTATGTCGATAACGCATAAATATTTTGCATATCAAGTCTGATATAGTAACGTAAAAAAGAGAATGGTACAATCCTTGAAATTTTATTAAATTATCAATATATAATTAGAATTATTTTATTTATTTTGCTATATGGCGATGCATGTAAAAATAATCTACATATTTAGTCTTCTAGATTACTAATTTATCTCGTTTTTAATGGACGGTTACTTATAAAATATATGATATTGTAATTATTTTTAACTATCAATAAATAAAAGTTAAATTCATAAATATATGCTTTGGAAGAATAAGAACTATTTTACTTCTGTTTACCTAACCAATTCAATTCAATTTTCTTGAATTGTTTCTATCGATTGAGTAGCTCAAGTTCTTTAAGCACATATTGTCCCTTATATCAAGAATGAAAGATAAGGTTGATGTACTCGAACTTTAACTATCAAATGCAGAACTTATAAGGTCGATAGGTCAATGTTATTATTGTTACAAAATCACGATATGAATTTAGTCGTATCAAGTGATTGCCAATTTTTTTTTTTCTTGTAGAAACAGTCTCATAATTTGGCACAAGATTTGGAGCAATCAACTTGCATGAAGAAGAAGAAGAAGCCATTTCATTTTGGGAGAAGCAAAAGTACTAAAGATATTGAAAATATTAAAAGTAAAAATGGGAAGAAAAAAAGTTTAAAAGCAAGTTGGCCACATCTCAGGATCTTAGGTTGCTAATAATTACTAAAACTATATTCCAATTTTAACCTTAATTTTGTTTATGAATTTTGAGAGAAGAGTTTTGAAGAAAGACATATATATGTATTATGTGTGTTGCTAATTTTATTTATTTTTAATTATTATTATTGTTATTATTATATCCAACATTAAGTACATTAATACTCCAATTTTGGTATAGATAATCCGAAGCATGTTAATCCCCAAATCAAAAAAATCATTAAAATGTCGAATAAAATAAATCTCATATTTTATTATTATTATTATTATTATTGTTATTGTTATTGTTATTGTTATTGTTATTGTTATTGTTATTGTTATTGTTATTGTTATTATCCTTTTGTTTTATACCCCAGTGTCTTTTTTTTTTTTATATATGTTATACATATACTTAATTTAAGATGATCATAAATTTCAATAAATTTCTTTAAGTTTTCGATATGAGCTATTATGTTATAGACTAACTGAAACATGTATAATATTATTTCGATCATCACCAAAGGATGTAATGAAATACTTGAAAAAAATATTTATCCTTAAGTAAAGAAAGATTTCAATATGAGCCTTTTGAATTTAAAATATTTTTATTGGGAGCACTGTGAAATGGACATATTCGACGTAAACCACAATTAATTCCACTAAGTTCAAATATCAAATGATCAACAAAACCACAATTACTATGTAGTTTAATCTGACCCAACAACTCATCTCTTTCTTAGAGTATCAATATTCTTTTCTCTTCAAGATTAAATAAATTTAAGTTGGTATTTGGTACATCTGCACGGATTAAAGTTGACAGTTATATTAATATATTGAAATAAGTGAAGGATCACTAAAAAATATGGTGGGGATAGTAAGTATGCTTTTGATTAGAATTCTCAATTTCAAGTCTTTAAAATGAAATTATTTTTGATAAGAATTATATTGTAATTAAAGTGAGATTTTTTGGAAATACATGACAACAAAACATGAGGTTTTTCTGAAAAGAAAAGAGTATTCGATGAGCATATTTATATAAAGAGAATGTGAAAAAGATGTGAATGAGCACCAAATGTTTTTTTTTTGTGGTGAGGTGCTATGTAGCATTCCATTTATAGTTAAATTTATTGATTGAACATCCGAAATGTAAATTGCCTTTGATATGAAACACTTTAACTTTCAAAACGAGGCTTCCTAACTCGAATATGAATTAGTCCGTCCCTCAAATAAGTATTAGAAGCCAATTAAGAACAAAGAAAAAAAAGTTGTAAATGTACTTCGATGAAAAAAGAAGAAATTTTATAAGGTGAGAGAGACTCGAATTCTCTCGACCTTAGGAAGGGCTCAACTTCAAATCCCAAAATAAAATCATACAATATTTAGTAGAGAACACTTTACCCTTAAAGTAAGAATTTCCATTATGAATAATTAGTTAGGAATGAACCAGGTACCAAATAGCCAAACGAGAAACAAAAAAATAATCTAAAAATATATAATGATAGGAAACACTTTATAATGAAAGTGAGAATTCAGCACGTGAGTCTAAATAAGTTAAAAATACAAATAGGTACCGAATATCGAATGACAAGCGGCAAAAAAATAAAATACGAACATGCATTGAACATCGAATGAAAAACGAAAAAATAAATATAAACATGTATCGAACATCGAATGAAAAATGACAAAAAATACAAACAGGCACCGTCATCGAATGAGATCCCAAAAAATACAAATAACTACTGAACATCGAATGATAAATGACCAAAAAATACAAACAGGTATCGAACATCAAATGAGAAATGACAACAAAATACAAACATGTACCAAACATCGAATGAGAAATGGTAAAAAAGACAATGGGGTGAGAGAGGCTCGAACTCTCGACCTCAGGATTACTCAGAAGCTATGAGACCTACGCGCTAGCCAACTGCGCCACCACCCCAATTGTTCACAAACTATCACAAATTATTATCTAATCCTAATTATAGTCAAAAACTTTGTCATAAAACACCGTTCTTGCTCTATCTTCTAATTTCTTACATGTCTAGGGTTTTTCAGATCTTTCCCTCTTTCATCACCAAGCAAACCCCTCATTCAGGTACTGATTTTTTTGCCCATTCATAGTTTTTTTTTTTTTTTGTGAAGTATTGTTCTCTTGTTTATAGAATTCTTTCTTTGATTATTGTCATCTATTTACCCAATAAATTGAATTTTTTTAAAAAAAAGTGAGAAAAAGGGGTAAAGATGGAGTCTTTTTAGTCTTTTTTCAACTGGGAAGTTACAAACTTTTACTTGAGTTAAGTTAGTAAATCTTGATTTAAGAATGGAAGTTAAGAACAATGGGAAGTAGTGTTGTGTTAAAGTAGTTTGTGCTTTATGTTTTACAACTTGTACCTTATATTTGTGATATACTTGCTCTTTTGGTTGCTGCTTCATGCTTTGAATCAAATCTTGTTTATGCTGTAATGTGTTTTTTGCCCTTCCTATAGTTTTTTTTTTGTCTTGTTTATAGAATTCTTTCTTTTGGTTCCTATTTCCCCATAAATTGGGGGGAAAAGTGAGAAAAAGGGGAATTTTGAGTTTTTTTTTTTTTTCACTGCAAGTTGCAAACTTTCACTTACATTGGTAATGAGTTGAGGTTCTTTAGTTATTGGGTCTTGATTAAGAATGGAACTTAGGAACAATGGGAATTAGTGGTATGTGAGAGCAGTTTGTACTTTATGTTTTACAGCTTGTACCTTGTATTTGTGATATACTTGCTCATGTGGTTGCTGTTTCATGCTTTAGCTCAATCTTGTTTATGCTGTGATGTGATTTTTGCCCTTCCCATAGTTTTTTTTTTTTGTAAGTATCATTCTCTTGTTTATAGAATTCTTTCTTTTGATTCAATTTTGTCTATTTTCCCTGTAAATTGAAAAAAAAGTGAGAAAAAGGGGTAAAGATGGAATCTTTTTAATCTTTTTTCAACTGGGTAGTTACAAACTTTGACTTACCTTAATTATGAACTAAGTTTCGTTAGTTACTGGTACAACAACAACAACATATCTAGTGTAATCCCACAAAGTAGGGTCTTAGGAGGATGGAGTATATGCAAAGTAAAGAGTCTTTTCCAATGGAGCCCTCGGCTCAATAAATCTTTTGTTATTGGGTCTTGACTAAAATGATTGAGGATTATAATCAAGGGTCTTAATGGAACTTATGAACAATAGGGGGGCAGTGGTATGTTAGAGTAGTTTGTACTTGATGTTTTACAGATTGTACCTTGTATTTGTGATGTACTTTTGGTTGCTGCTTCATGATTTAACTAAATCTTGTTTATGCCGTGATGTGATTTTTGCCCTTCCTATATAGAGTTAATTTTTTCTTATAATCGTGCTTCCAATTCTTCTTTTCTCTTGAGACGAGAGTCTATCGGAAACAACCTCTCTACCCCCATAAAGGTAGGGGTTAGGTCTGCATGCATCTTACCCTCTGCAGAACCCACTTGTGGGATTGCACTGGGGATGTTGTTATAGAGTTCATTTTTTCCCGGATTATCATTCTCTTGTTTATGTCCATTTTATTAATTTCTTTTCTTTAATTGAACTTGCCCCTATTCAGCCCATAAATAGAAAAAAGTGAAAAAAAGGCAAAAAGTGCAATCTTTTTCTTTTTTCTTCATTGGGAAGGTGCAAAAATGCTTTAGTACTCGAATCAAGGTCCGTAGGAACTTATCAAATACAGTACAAGAGAACAATGGAAGGGAGTGGTGTGTAAGATTAGTTTGTACTTTTTACAGCTTGTACCTTGTATTTATGATGCACTTTCTCTTTTGGTTGCTGCTTCATGCTTTAAGTACTCCTACAAATTCCATTATTTGCGCAACAATTTAATTTCTTAGAATTACAATCATTAAGTCAATCTTAATGCTGTGATGTGATTTTTTCCCTTCATACAGAATTCATTTTTTTGAAGTATCGTTCTCTTGTTTATGTACATTTTATTTGTTGCCTTTGTTTAATTGGAACTTGCCCCTATTCAGCCCTATAGATGGGGTAAAAGTGAGGAAAAATATGCAAAGATGCAAATAATTTCTTGTAGAATAATAGTTGCTTGTTGGACCAAATTCTCGTGTGAATTCACGGAGCAACAACTAAATGGATAACATATGCATGCATGTCTTTATGTTGACCTCTCATATGTTGTGAATTTTGTTTCTTCTTGTTTTGCTATCTGCATGTAGTAATTCAAGACTAATAAAAAAATTCTGAAGATCTAATTTTAACTTTTCTGGAAAAAAAAGTCTCAGGTGAATTTTCTGACATGGCTATCGTCAACGATGAACGTGAGTTTGAGGAAGAAACAACTCATGAAGAACTCCAAGAGTTTGACGAAGATGAGGAAGTGGACGCCGAGGACGATGATGACAAGGATGAAGATGATGATGACGGTGACGAGGAGGAGGAGAAAGAGGTCATACAGAGCTCTGGCAGTGGTCCACAAGTTCACACTATAGACGATGACGACGAGGACAATGAGGACGATGAGGATGATGAGGACGATGAAGGCGACAGTGATGATGATGATGACGATGACAACGAAGATGATGAAGATGAGGAGGAAGGTGAAGAAGAGGAAGATCTGGGTACGGAGTATCTTGTTAGGCCAGTGGCACATGCTGAGGATGAAGAAGATGCTAGTGATTTTGAACCAGAAGAAAATGGCGAGGAAGAGGCTGTTGAGGAGGAAGAGGAAGAGGACGATGATGAAGACACTAGCGGGAAGGTGGAGGCCCCCCCAAAGAGGAAGAGATCAGGCAAAGATGATGACTCTGATGATGATGATGATGGCGGAGAGGATGAGGATGACGAGAGACCATCTAAACGATAGGGCTTGGCCCTATCTAGTATAGAGGTCAATCCCCCTATATGTATGATGATGGTTCTTGTAGTCCTTAGTTTTAATCACTGTTGGGATTATGACACCATTTTAGTTTAGTTTAAGAACTTTGGTTCAAGTTTTTTTTATTTAATTGTATGTGTTGGTGTTTTTAGTTGTTAAACTCTGTTTAGTCTGCTATTTTGGTGCAAGTATTTATATATGGTGGGCTTAGTTTAAACACTGTTTTAGTTTCGTTACCTATAATCATTATTATAAAAAAAATCAACTTTTATTGGACAAGTTAGCAGCAAGTATTTGAATCTTTGATTTTTCGTACTTTAATGTTCTAGGTCCTGCCTGAGTTTCTTTACTCTTCTTGTTTTTTTCTTTGGGTAATAGAAGGCTAATATACTAACAAGGGTTGTGGTGGAGTGATAAGTATTTTTTCATCTTTAATCAGGATTTCGGGTTTGAGTTCCCATGGGTACAAAGTCATCTTTGTTAGAAAGTGCTTTAGCCTACGGATTTAGTCAAACTCCAATGTGGGGTACCGTACATCGAGTCGGACTAATATATCAAAACTTTAAAGTTATGAAGGGAGAATCAACTGATGCTCAGTAGCATACTGTGTTAGTATGAGTGGTTGGACACTTGCACCATCGAGGGTTTGAGTCATGCTGGAGCAGAAGTGGGAATACTATTGATCTTTTTGTATTTGTTTTAATTGTTAGTCAGCACTGACGGCATAGAATGAGGTGAGGCTCAAGCTGGTACCAAACATAGAATGATAAACCAAAAAAACAAACAAACAATTGGGTACCGAACACCGAATAAGGCTCAGGCCGATACCGAATTAAATGAGAAAAAACAAAAAACAAAAGAAGCAATGGGGTGAGAGAGGCTCGAACTCTCGACCTCAGGATTACTCAGAAGCTATGAGACCTACGCGCTAGCCAACTGCGCCACCACCCCAATTGTTATCAACACACCATTTTTTTTATATTGACTAACTTTTCACCTTCAAAGAAGTCAAAAGGACAAGAATTTTTTTGCCCAAAAACACCATTGTTATTGTTCTATCTTCTTACATGTTTAGGGTTTTCAGATCTTTCCCTCTTTCATCACCAAACAAACCCATTCAGGTACAATTTTTTGCCCTTCCCATAGTTTTTTTTTTTTTTTTGTGAAGTATCATTTTCTTGTTTATAGAATTCTTTCTTTGATTCAATGTGAAAAAAAAAGTAAGTAAAAGAGGCAAAGATGGAATCTTTTTAGTCTTTTTTTCACTGGGAAGTTGCAAATGTTCACTTTCCTTAATTATGGGATGTGTTTGCTTAGTTTGATTAAAAATGCTTTAGGATTCTAATTAAGGGTCTTAATGGAACTTAAGAACAATAGGAGGTAGTGGTATGTTAGAGTAGTTTGTACTTTATGGTTTACAGTTTGTACCTTGTATTTTTGATAAACTAGCTCTTTTGGGAGAAGGGGACCGTTGGAGCAACAGTAAAGTTGTATCTTGTGTGACCTTTAGGCCACGGGTTCGGGTGGCGGAAGCAACCACTAATGCTTGCATTATGTTAGATTGTCTACATCACACCTCATTGGTGGTGTGGCCCTTCTTGTATTCTGCTAATGCGGGATGCCCTTTGCTCTTTTGGTTGCTGCTTCATAGTTAAACTCAATCTTGTTTATGCTGTGATGTGACTTTTGCCCTTCTTATAGAGTTTATTTTTTCCCGAATTATCATCCTCTTGTTTATTGCCTTGCTTTACTTGAACTTGCCCCTATTCACCCAATAAATGGAAAAGAAGTGGGAAGAAAGGGCAAAATGCAATCTTTTTTTTTTTTGTTTTGGTTTCAATGGTAAGTTGCAATCTTTCACTCACCTTAGTTCTAACCTGAGTTTCTTTAGTTATTTAGGTCGTAGACGCTATGCATGTGCAAAAAAAAGTTTTCTTTTTCACAAACCATGGAATTTGGGAGTCTTGAGTCTTGATTAGAAATGCTTTAGGATTCTATGAAGGGTCTTTTATGGAACTTTTCAAAACAAAACAAGAGAACAATGGGAGGTAGTGGTATGTGAGATTAATGTGTACTTTATGTTCTAGAGCTTGTACCTTGTATTTCCATTTTTTTTTGATGATATGCTTGCTCTTTTGGATTGCTGCTGTAGGCATTAAGCACTTCTACAAATTTAACTTCTTAGAATTACAATTATTAATTCAATCTTGTTTATGCTGTGATACGATTTTTTCCCCTATTCTCAAACTTTATTTGCAAACTCTGGCTATTGATTTGACATTTTGTGCAAGTTGAACAAGCTCTTTAAGATTTGTGCAGTTGTATAGTGCTTTTATGATGTAAAGCAAATGGAAACTCTTATGATTATAACCTGGAAGATTTAATAACATCTGTATATAATGCTTCTGATATGGTAACTCATCTTGATACAATATATTTCCAAAACTAGTGGACTACATGAATAGAAAATGTGTAACCGTATAAGTTGTCTGTTACTTTCACTTGCTGTCAAGTGTCTAATTGGAGAAAGTGGTGCTATTTATATGTGTATATGCCAGTACAATTTAATTGATAGAAATTGTCCTGATTACTGGAATGAGGATAAAAAATGAGTTAACTAGATCTAGTAAAAGAAAAATGCTGTTTACCTTGCATAACTGGACAGGAAGTAGTAAGAAGTTTTTGTCATTTGGCACCCAAGGTTGTGGCCTAGTGGTCACTAAAGTGGGTTGAGAACCATGAGGTGTCACATTCAAATCCTAGCAGAGACAGAAAAAACACTGGGTTATCCTCAGCATATCAATGTGGATGATGGAGGGAGCTAGAAACATTGAACTATGGAGGAAGGTACCTCTATACAAAAGCGAGTTAGAAAACACTATGATGTGAAAATAGTGGAAGAAGAAAGTATGATGTTTCTTTTTCTAGGGTCTATGTCCTTGAGCTTAGATATATTTATTAGTTCCCCTGAAGTTTCAGTTTGAGTTATATATTACATAGGTTGTAGATTCAACATCGTGTATAAGCGTACAAGAACTAATATTTGAGAGTTACTTTGGTTTAAGTTTCCGGGTTCAAAACAGGTTCAATTTTCCCTTTTTCTCATCTTAGAGTAGAAAGCCCAGTTGCAAAATGTTCATAATGTGACAGTCTACACTACAGATCAATTGGCTTTGGCCTCTCACAACACTACAAAACAAACAGTAAAAGGTTATCTAATAATAGTATTCCCTGTGATAGTAAGAAAATGATGCTGAGGCCACTTCATTAAAGTAAAAGAAGATCCTAAAGGTTTACTTAACCAATAAATTTGTTGTGAAGCCTGTGATATCTTATCCGTTCTCTAGAGTAATCGAGGATATGCAAACGTCTTGTCAAAAACTTGGTAAATGTTTTGCTTCGACCCATTCAGATAGTTTGCTTGAAATGGTTGTAAAAGGGAAAAAATATGCTACACATATGTCATAAGTTGTAGTTTTGTTATGATTTGTTTTTTTGTTTTGTTCTTGAAAACAATATTTAGGATATCAAAAACCATGTTTATGGTAATGAAGGAAATTGTTAGAATGAGTACTTTTTTACAATTTCAATTCAATGTGAGATGAACCATGCATTTTTAGGAGGGTGCTTTTTATTCTATAACTGTTGTGGGTATGCGTTATGATTACGTTTTTATTAGTGATGTAACGGGGGGAAACTGCAAGAATGTACAAATAGTTCAAGTCCTTATTAGCTTGTTGGTGTAACATCTGCCCAATTCATGAGCATTAGAGATAAAGCTTTTCCGTCACCTATTATTTGATTTGGTCTTTCAAGAATATGAAGAGTGTCAACTGCTTATTCAAGGAAAGAGTAATTATGCAATTTACAGAAGATTTGGAGAGATACTTGTCAAATTATCTGGAGAAATACTTGAGCATCTTCAAACAAAACTGCAATCAATATAAAATTGGTAGTCAGGAAGCAGCTTCTTTTGTGAAATGGGAATTTGTGAGCATTTTGTATAAATAAATAAATTTTTAAAAACTATGATAGGCAACTGTATTTTTTCCGGTGGTGAGTTTGGATTTCCAAATCATTATCATTTGAATATTTTAGTAATTGAGCTTCCATGTCTAAGTCAATGTGTTAACATTTAATTACAATCGGTATTCTGTGCAGCGATATGAAGCCGTACTGGCATGCAATATAGTTTTGGTTAAGATGTGATGATTGATTATTTTTTTTTGTACAGGACGTGTCTGAAGTCTGCCTGCTGATGTGTATTAGTTCTCTGTAGACGCTGCTCAACAGTTGAAGAATTGCACACTACGTTAATGTTGGCCTCAAACGCTGCATTGCACATGAGGTTGTTGTTTTGTAGTATTTTGCCAATTGGGGTTTTTAAGGGGGAATAGTTCTCTTTAGCCATCATATCACTATGTTTTGCAAGATGAATGGCTTAATCTATATTGAGGTGCGTCTGCGGAATTGATAATTTTCAGTTGAATATTCCTAAGTGTATTCCTCTGAGGGTATTTCTTCAGGTTCCCTAGGTGATTCTGTCGTTTTATGCTAAATAACAGATAAGATTGCCAAATACAGGTTTCTCGTGCAGACCATGAACCCAAGACTCCTGTACTCTTCTTGGAGTAGATAAATTCAGGGTTTCCGTATCTCCCGAGTTAAATTGATGTCTAAGTAAGCATTTTGTTGTTTGATTCACTATCTGAGATTGTTAAGACATCATATATTTGTACTGTTCTGTGAGGTTGTTCCTTGGAATAAACAACTATTTCACCGTGTGAAGAAGTTTGTCTGTAAATGCTGGTTTCTTGTTAGTTTGAACCGATAATTGAACTTCAAGAATGGATGTTCCTGTGAAGAAACCTCAGGTTAATGGGCCGAAAACCTTAATCAGTGATGACATTTTGGCTAAGAGGCTAAAAAATCGGGAGCGTCAACGCAGATATAGAGAAAGGAAACGTCTTAAAGCTGATAATATGAAGGTGTTGGGCACAAACCAACTAGTTTCATTGCCAGTGGGGGTGCCCATGATTGTTTCTCCCCGGGATAGTACACTGCTGGTGAATGTCGTTCCTCTGGACTCTTCGGTTCCAGTAGAAGTTGCTCCGCTGGACTCTTCAATGCCAGTGAATGTTGCTCCCCGGGCATATGTAAAGCCAGTGGATGTTTCTTCCCGAGAGTCTGTCACCCGTGTTTACTCCGGGCGAAATTGGAAAAGGGATGCCCGAAAGGCCCATGTTGCCAGGCAGAATGAAGTTAGTACTAATAATATGGTTTCATCAGATTTAGCTTCAACTGGTGGAGGTCAAGCAACATTATTACCCCACGTTGAACAGTCAGATGTCGCAATGAGTAATGTTATTTCTTCACCTGTGACTGCATCGGAAAATAACGGAACACCCAAATCTATTCCCAGCAGAAGAAATTGGAAAGCAGAAGCTAGAAATAAGAAGAGCTGAAATTGTTGACAATAAGTTAAGGTCAAGTATGTCACAGAACATTATCAATTGTTAGCAGCCTTGTTGCAATATCATTATGCACAACATTGGAAGGACGGATGAACTTCGGATGATATTGTAAGTGTTCCGTTTTTGTTCTACTATACAAAACATCTTAGTTTTATACTACTATATTTTTAGACTTGCCATTCATACCCTTGTTGTTAGCAAATCGTCTCGTGTTTGTCCTTGACCTTAAATGGAGATCCAACCTAAAGTGTTATGGAGGACAATTTTAAACCATAGTTATAAGTAGAGGAGTAAATCTGGACCTTTTTCGCAATGTTTTTTGACATGTGGATTCCACTCAATCTATGTTGGAGCTCCGTTAAAGTCGAGGGCAAGTATGAAACGATTAGGTAGCAGTAAGGATATGAATGGCCCGATAATATAACGGAGGGTAAATTTGGACCTTTTCCCGTTTCATTTCCGTATGTTGGTGCTCTTCATGTTTGTTGTTTATTTTCATGCACTCACCAACTGATGCAATTGCAGATATCGGATGCCCGACTTACACGGCTCTTAATTTTTTGCTTCTGTTCAAACAAGTGAGAAGATCCTGACCATTGCTAATGTCCAGGTTTTGTCAGGTATGAAATTTAGGTTTTAGAGTAACTTTAGGATACTCTTTTTCTGCTAGAACTTTAGTCGTTGGGACTTACTTTCTTCCAACGAAACGAATCTTCATATGTTTCACGAGACTCTTGACCATGTGTTTCTGTACATATCTGTTGTATGTGGATAACTCCACTTGTGGGATTACACTGGATATGTTGTTTTTTGTATCTGTTGTATGTGGATCGATCATTCCTAGTCCGATTTGTCATTCAAGAAGAAACTATCTTTCATGATTTGTTGCATTCTTTGGTTATCTGTTCAAGAAACATTTCAGAGTTTGAATTTTGCATATGGTTCTGAGTTTGATTAAGGGAAGTATTTATTGATTATGATTGCACAGATACTATTATAGCATAAAATTAGGCTTAGACCAAGCTTTATTCAGTGGCGGAGTCAGAATATTCATCAAAAAGATTAGACAAAAGATTTGTGTCGTTTAGGAGATTCAACAATCTATATATAAGTGCAACTCGGTCCACAAAGTATTCCATGTTCATGCAGGGTTTGAGGAAGGATCGCACCTCAAAGGGTGTGATGTAGACAACCTACCCTAATGTAGGCATTAGTGGTTGCTTCCACTACTTGAACCCATGACTTATCACGAGGAGACAAGTTTACTGTTGCTTCATTAGTTTAACATCTGCATTGATATATACAAACAATGAAATGCAGAACATATGTAAATACAGATAAAGATAATTAAATAGTTTCATCAAGTACATGTACATACATGATCATAATTACATATTAATCAACCCTTAATGACGCGTTAATCAACGCTTAATCACCTGCCTCAAATCCTCAAAACTCCAATCCCTTCTCATCCCGGGGCTCCTCGCCAATCTTGGCGAATCAGTCATGAACTCTATCGGACCACTATTATGAACCCTCCGAGAACCTTTTTTCGCGTTAGTTTCTTGTCCCATTAGTGTTCGAGCCCTCATTTTTTCAAATCTCGGCTTTTGTACCAAGTTCCCTGACCAGTTCCTCTCGATTCCGCCTGAAAAAAGGCGAAAATTTGACTTTTCATCAACATTTTTGAATTTTTCCCTTAGTTCCTCATGTGAATCTGTTCTTTTTAGAACTTGGCAGGTTAAGCAATTGAGAGTCATTGTTGTATAAAAGATGAAAATAAAAAGTTTAGAAGGTAATAAAAAATGCATAGGATATGAAGCAATTGATATGTAAATAAAATAATGATATTGATAATTGAATTTTTGAGGATGTTGAGGTTAAGGGTGGATTTTTTTTAAAAAAAAATTCTCCCATTTTATTGGAGATGTTAAAGGTCTTGTGTTAATAATATCCATTCTTTTTTGGTTTATACCCTAAAATAAAGGTGAATCAATCTTTAGGGTAATGGCTATTGTTATTCTTACTATTAATTGAAAAATCCTCGAGAGCTAGTAATGCAAAACTTTTAAATTTGGAAATTCTCATATTAGATGGTTAAAACGCTTTTAATATAGGCGATTCATAATAGGATTTGAAGCTGAAATCTATAATTAAGGATGAAGGAGTACTTGTGGAAATAATATTTTATTAAAGCAAAATCTTCATCTACGCAAAAACAAAAAAATATCCACTTACTCTACTACACTGGCTCCCCAGCTCTATACATTTATATTGTGGGCTCATTCATGAACTAAATAGAATTATATTTCTATTTACTAAATACTTTAGTTATACATTTGCTTATATAGAAAGAAAAAAAAAAGAGTTTAGTACAATTACTACATCAACACATTTAGGGTAATTTCGGGGCTTCAAAAAAGTTGTGTTTGCACATTCTTACCCCTATCTTGTAAAGGTAGAAAAATTGTTTTCGATAGACTTTTGACTCAAGTAAAACATATCAAAATTAAGTATGAAAAAAAAAACAATAATAATACCAAATAATATGATAATCGAAATAAAAAACAAAATTGGAGACAAAAATAGTAAGGGAGTAATGATCATAATATAAATAAGAGAAATCAAACAATATTAGATTATCGACTAATTTTCTACCCAAATTTTCGACTTTCACATCCTTCTCTCCAAAGTTTAGTGTAAACAAAGAAATGTGAACACTTTTATGGACCCATCAGAGTGTAAACAAAAAAAGTGAATACTATAGTAATATATATAAAAATGAATTTCACATGTAAAACATGATCATTTTAAAATTAATTTATTGTATTCAACAATTCAATATTGGTCTTCAAGTCAATTTAATCTGGTCAATAAGATTCGCTTTAAACTTGAGTTTTTTTTTTCTTTTTCTTTTTCATTTATATACACTAATAATTTTCTTTTTAATTAAAATATTACAGAGGGTGATGTAGATGATTTTGTTCATATTTAATACAGTCATATTCTCGGTGTATATAGTAATATATACTGACAATATACAATCAGACTAATCTATAACAATTATTATTTATATTAATATATCATTATAATGATCAAAGTATTCTTTGAAATCAAATTTTCATATATTACATGTTTCTTATAATAATATTTTGATATATTAGCAATAAAATATCGAAACAAAATAACTTTAACTACAAGGTGGCTTGAAAAAAAATGATAAATAAGCTGGCTGTAAAATTTAACTATTTATTATGTATAAATTTAATATATTTTGTTACTAAAGTTGGCATATTTTATTTTTTTAAAAAAAAACAAATCAAACTATACATAAAAGCTTTTATAAAACCTCAAACAAAACGAATCTTTGTCACATCTATCAATCTGTCTATTAGATTAACAGATATAAACTACGGAGTATTTATCACACAATTCATAAGACCAAAATAATATTCTAAAATTATTCTCGAGCGCTAAATCATATAAATTTTAATATGTATTTTTCAATTATATTGATACAAAAAACTTAGAATTTATAAAAAAATTAAATAGTATTTGTATATATAAACTTTAATTTTTAAAAATATAAAATTAAATTTAAAAATTAATTAAGTTGATTTTTAATAAATGAAATGTAACAACTATTTGGACGGCGGGAATATAACAAAGTTTGTGCCTAAATTAACTGCATTTAAAGGGCTTGTGTCACTTCAAACTCAAATGATACTCCTGACATTATATTATCACAATAGTAATATATACTTTAAAATATTTCTTGGTCCAATGAATACAGCTATGATTTGACCAAATTCAATGAATTCTCTATAAATGAAAATGCAGCCCTACCCCTTTGTCTGGACTAAAACAAACAACTAGTTACTAGTTACTAGTTTGTGCATCGGTCGATTCGATTTTATATATTATCGATTCAGTTTAATAATTTTTAATTTTTAAATAAATTAAATTAATAAGAGATTTTATATCGATTTATCAGTTTTGATCTTTAACGGTTCGATTTCGATTTCACCAATAAGAAATATTTATAAAATAAATATATGACTTTTTAAATAAATTTAACACAAAAGAAATTAAGAGGAATATATGGCTTCTTTAGATTTTAACGTTTTGTATAATGTAAAATTGTGAACTAAAAGTAACTTTGAAGTGTGAATTGAAGGTTGAAGGATAAAGACAGTAACTAGTAAGGTATTGAAATTAATGTATAATATTTATGTACAAGTAAATTATTAGTCTTAATGGGTTATCGGTTTACCCAATAACCAAATATTAAAAACCAATACCGAACCAATAACCTGATAACTTTCTTTTATAAAACCATTAAAAACTCGTTGTCCAATAACCCAATAATTATAAACCAATAACACTTTTTCGATTTGATTTATTGGTCGATACGGTTTTCGCACACCCTAGTAATACATCCATTTATCTTTTATGGTTTTTCACTCTGTTTTTGATATCTGTATTAAGTTTCGATTATATTTATATTTACATTAAAAAGTTTTCTAGTAAAGGCGATTGCATACTCCGTAACTAATATATCCATCATAATTAAATAAAAAACTTCTATCTCGACAAAAAGAAAAATTTTTAAAAAAATTCTTGAACAATGAACTAGAAGAACATATTACTCAACCAATGATTAAATATAATAAGTGTTCATAAGCAAGTAGGGGCGGAACTAGAGGAGCGGAAGCGCATTCGTCCGAAACTCTTTCGTCAGAAAATCATATTATATACACAAGGTCAAAAATTATTTATGACTAGTTAGTGTACAACTTGAAACTCAATGCATAATCTATCCGCCCTCTATCCTTCTCCACTAAAATGCAAAGGTGATTGTTTGTTACATGGATTGAACTTGTGCGTCTAGTCCATACATCACATGTTAGGTTTAATTAAAAAATGCTTAGTACTTTCTTCCAATTTGCCTAATGTAAAATGACGAGTGGTCTGTACCAAAATAAGTGTCACCAATTGAATGAAAATTGCTACTAACATCAAATTCATCAGCCACCAATTATTGGTTTCTCATAATTTATTTCCTGGATGAAGAATACAAAAGGATGAAGCTGCATAATATCTCTAATCTTACATGAACTAAAAAGCCTCAACTTGAGATCTCTAGTATTGGTTTCACATTTATATACAGAAAAGATACATTATACAGAGCTCACTACCGAGATAATTTCATCGCGATTCAGCAAATTTTGATGTCAATGCTATCGTAAGCTGCTCTTGAGCGTAAAGCCGTCTCCCCATTTTGACTGTCGCTTGTTGGATCATCAAATCATTGACAACGGAAACACTAGCGTGGTGCACGTCTAGGTCCAAGTCCTTGAGGGCTGCCATTAGCCTCGCAGCTGGATGATTCTTTTTACTACATTGTATACGAATCATAGCATCCCATCCAATCACCTTAACGTCAATGTCCATATCGACAATCTTGAGATCTTGATTCGATGGAGGGGAGGAGGAATAGTTTGATGATCCCTTGTTGGCTAATTCCTTCCTTAAAGATTCAATTTGGCTCCTCAACTCCTCTTTATCTAAATCTGAATTTTGAACCTTTGATTTCAACTCATTGATGTATGCAATTGCATCTCCAAGAAGTGATGCCTTGTCCATTTTTGAGACATTTGGGACTACGGCTCTGAGCGCGTAGAATCTTTGATTCAATTTCTCCCTCCTCTGTCTCTCCGCCTCCACGTGATTCAATGGCTCCTCCCTTCCATTGGCCGGTTTCCTCCCTCGCTTCCTCGGCTTCTTTTCAGGTTCTACAATGGCCTCCTTCACCACTGAGGCCTCGAGATCTGAGTGATCCGAATCTCCACCTCCACCAGACTTCCCCATTGTTGAAGTTGGCAAGATCACACCCGAAACAAACGAAAGCATTCCTTCTTCATTGTTTCCCCTTGATGCAAGTGACCTTTTCTTGTTCTTGTTCTTGTTCTCCTCCATGAGCCCGAGCCCGGTCCCAGGCCCGAACTGTGATTGGCCTGAAAACAAGCTTCCACTTCTCTTACTACTATCACCAAAATTCAATATCTCCCTGGTCTCCGGCTTACAAGAAATCGAAGAATTTCCATTTTTATTCCTAGTACTACTTCCATCAAATCCATAACCCGAAAAATTCAACTCCTTAGTGAAAAATCCTTGTGTTTGTTGAGAATGCTGCTGATTTTGAGTACCATTTTCAGAATTCTCATTTCCAAACACAAGTTGCACATCCCTACTACTACTATTAATTAACGAATCCTTAGCTTCCACAACTGAGGAAGATGGATCCGTAAGCCAAAGGGCCGAAGGATCGGGCTCGGGATGCACAGCACACGAGCCCGAACCTGAGCCCGTAACAGAGCCCATATCAATATTGAAGTTAAACAAATATTTAACCTTGTTCATCAAATCCGAGCTTTCGAATATCAGCTCAGTCGAACCAAGCTCGACTACACCGTTAGCTGAAGGAATGCATACAATAGTCTGAAGCCCGAAACCTTGAGCTTGCCTGGCCCGTTCACATTGAGAACCAGCTAATTTCTCTGTTCCAGTAACCCAAATCGGGCTTGAACTGTACATCGCCAAGCCCGGAAGCCCGTTTCCATTAGCAAACGATTGGGTCATTGAAATCAGAAAAAACCATTCAGTATCCGTCACTTCTTCATCCACCGCATCATCACCTACACTTCCGGCGCCGGCGGCCTGTACACCGGAAATTAATGAATTCAGCTCACGAAGCACCTTTTTTCTATGCTCTTGCTCAGCAACAAAATTAGCTGAACTAGACGACGCTCTACGCTTGTTCTTATTTTCTTCCCCTTTATAATACCCATCTCCCCAACCCAACACAGATGGGGTCGCAAAATCCGACGTCGACGATGATTGCCAGAAAATAGCATATGCCCATGATTCACGAGCACCGTCAATTAAAGCCTGAAGCCTTTGTTGTAGTGATTCTTGATTAAAAAACGGCATCGTCTCTCCGACTCCTCCGTTCACCGGAGTCGGAGAAATCGAGGTTCGATTGGGCCAAAAAGAGGATGGATCGGAAGATAAAAAAGCATCCATCATCATATTATCATCAGATGTATTAGTAGTATTACTATTACTCCATAATCTATAGTCCGTCATTCAATCAAATTGAAGAATTCAAGATTTTACAAAAGAGGAAATGAGAGATTTTGTTTGTTAGGTGAGAAATGAGCATACAGATTTTTGTGGATATAAATATAAAAATATTGTGAGCTGAAAATAAGTGAGGAAAGTGAGTGGACAAAGAGGAGAGGGTTCCAAGAAAGGGTTAATTATGAGGTCGAGAATTGTGATGGAATGATAAATATTCATTCATTTTTAATTAAATATTTTGATAAAACAATCTTTTACACTAGAAAGCTCTTTACCCTTGATATAAAACTTTCTGACGTGAATTCGAATTTAATCAAATTTTAATATGAATATCCAATACCGAATGAAAAATCAGGAAAAATAATTAGGGTGATCAATTTTAATGGGGAAAATTATACGTAGGATAAGGAAAGCCGGCGCAATTACTAGTACTACTTTTTTTTTTTTAACTACCTAGGACTTTATACTAAAATTTTTTACTTACCTAACACTACTAATAAGTCGTACTTACATAGGTAGAAGATCTTCCTTTTTATTTTATTTTATTATATAATTCAAAGGAAATGATATTTTTTTATTTATTTTAACTTGTTGTGTTTTGTTCTTGAGAGTCAAACGGCAACGATTTTATCAATATTTTGAGATGTATTTTGTTCTATCATATTAATATGAGAAGGATTGAAACTTATTTATTTTTCATATATCTTTCAAACATTTAAAATTTAAATATTAAATCTATGTAATTTGATTTAGTTCTGAAGTAAAAGTGAACGGAAAAAGTAGATATTTATATGATTCAGTTGATTGATTATTTAAATTTTTATCTTGTAGGTGAGGATTCGATTCTCACCTTGTAATCATCCCCTAACCCCATTTTCAAAAAAGAAAAAGAAAAAAGAAGAGAGTATTAAAAGTAAATTCAATTACTTACAAAAAAAGTAATATTAAATATCTTCGATGAGTTGAAGACAAGTTATTGAATTTGGAAAATATTGTTAAAGAAGATGATTTTCAATGAATGTTCATGGAGTTGAATTTGGAAAATATTGTAAAAGAAGAAGAATTATTTTTATGACCATATTTGTTAAAGTGCTAATATTAATATCTAATAGTTCAATGTTTCAACTTAGAAAGAGAAACAAGTTAACTAATTTCCAGGTAATATTAAATTAGCATATCTCCTACATGTAGGCTTTATGCTCTGAAGGAATAATTCATATATGAAAAGAAAATAAATGAAATGTTGATTTGATATTATATTATAGTAATAACAACAATTATATTTAGCAATCCCTTATATTTGATGTAATCTCACAAATATAATCTCATAAAATGAGGTCCGAGAAAATAGAATATACATAAATTTTACCTTTATTCAAAACTAGAGAATTTTTTGTTTGCAGTTGAATCTGAACTTAGCTCCTTATCTACTCTTATTTACTTAAATATCAAATTATATATTGTCCATGATATGATTCGAATGTGTATGTACATCTAATTCGTTTATCATGTATTGCACTCTTGAAATTCGATAAATAATGAATTTATCACTATTTTCTACTTAAATACTAAATTATAGTTTACGCAAAATTTAAATTCGCTCTTCTATCCTTATCCCCTAAACTCTAAAGTATCACATTTTTAACTATGTCTGATTATTTTTAAACTTTGAACCCATGACTTAAATATTACTTGTTCGAGCAGAATTCTATCCATACTTGTGTTCGTTAATTTAGTTTTCACTTAAATATCAGGTTCATGTCTAAGATGAAATTTCAAATTGATAACGTGAGCCTAATCAATACATTTCAAATATAATAATTCTTTTTATAGATAAAATAAAAAAAGTGACCGTGTTCTCAAATACTCGCCCAAAAAAGAAAATATCACTCGTATTTAACCAAATTATCTTATCTTAAAACTTACTTAAGTAAAAATACTCCAATTGTTAAACACTTTGTCACTTTGAGCTTAGTTCTTTCAATTTATTTAGTAAGTTTTTCACATATATAACGTAGGATAATTTATTATAATGATAAATATTTGTCTTGATCTTGATTTTATTTTTTTAAAAATAAAATAAATTGGTCTAATCGACTTGAAATTTGAATTGATTATTTGAGAAAGTCATGCCATCAAATGAAGATGCTTTTTTAGAAAGATTATTCTCAGCCATTCTTTGAAACTAATTTGAAAACAAATCATTCGTTCTATAATGTGAGGCTCCAAAAATTCGTAATGAAAAAAGTAAAATAATCCTAAGATTATCAGTCCATCACAAATTTTGTCCATATTTATATTTTATAATATCTATCATAATATTCCTCTCAATTTTTGTGATAGACATACTCATCACAAATAATGGGCTTTTTTGTTGTTGGTGAATCCCTTGTAATTAAAGGCCATTTTTTCAAAAAAAAAAGAGAGTATAATCTTTTATAGATTGTCAATGGGTATTTATTTTGCATGCACAATCAAAGTAATTAAGGTACCTACAATAATTGTAAATCATATTAGTACAATATTGTAATGTAAATTCTGAGTAAATAATTTTTATTGTAAGCTTGTTAAAATACGTTAATAGTAAAAACAAAAAAAATCTTGTCCTTCGAAAACACTCTACATATACAATGCATGTAAGAGTGAGACCACATACATATCACCTTCTTCTTCAGAATTTACTTACTTTTTTCCACTCGATATTTAATATTCATATTGATGTTCGATTAATCTGAATTTACGTATTGCGGGGTCTATTTTTGAAGGCGGTACTCCCAACATAACTCTTTTTATTTTTAGGACTGGAACACGATCGAGACCTCTTGTTGAAGGTAAAAAAGTTCCAATCATTCTATTATAATACAAGTTATCTTCAGAACCTACTTATAAAATTACGTTGAGTTTGTTATTATTGTTGTTGTAATAAAGGAAAATGTTATTCGCGTTGGCGTCACGTTGTGGAATCATTTCGATTGGGTCCTACTTGTAATTGTCTTTGTTCAAGATATCATAAAGTATATTACACTAATATAATATAATTTGTATATATGTTTTAGACATATTAAATTATTAATAGCACGTTTTGGTGGATGCCAAACGTGAAAATAACATTGGTTTTTATTTTTTATTTTAATAACAAATAATATAAATGCAACTTGACATGTGAACCACCATTACAATGCCAGACAATTATAATTAATTATTGAATAATAATTGTCATAATCTCTGTTTGTTTGTGTATTTTTAGTTTGTTTACTGGTCAAATTATTTTTATTAATTCGAAGAGAAGGACAAAAACAAGAGAAGGGCATTAAAGAAAATATTTTATACAAAAACTATTTTGATTGATAATTTTTTTTAGTTGTAGTATTTGTGTGAATCCAACCATATTTGAATGCTAATAATATAATAACTAAATTATTAGTCAACAAGGAGAGAAATTGTGATAATTGGTGTTCAAATTTAAGCAAGTTTAGATGAAGGTTAGCACAAATATAAGAAGTATAATTATTAATAGGAACACTTGATTTATGGACTAGTCATCCAATAGTTATAATATCTAGATTGCTTTTATCCAACAATAATAATAACATTCTCCCAATATATTTCAAGAAGCAAGACATGAGAAGATAGCGTGTTTGTAGATTTTATCTCTATTTTCATGGGATAAATCAAAGATTATAATATCAATATCGATAATTTTTTGAAAATGATATTATAACTATTACATGACTAGTCAAAGATTACCAAGAAAGTTGTTTGAAATAAATGGAAGAGTAAAAAGTTATGGTGAAAATAGTAAACAAAGAGAAAGTACTAATAATATAAGTATCGAAGATAACCTAAGTAAAAGAAACAACGGTAGGAAGTTTCATTTTGCATAACGATCGATTTGGTGCGATCGCATCATTAACTTAATATATCTTTTCCCATTTTATCCTTTACTTTCTATTCAAATAAGTCTATTTTATCCTTTACCTACCTTTTTACGGTACCTCTATTCTAAACCCTACTGTTCTTGTAGGTTTATCATTTAAATTGTTGATGTGTCTATGTTAGGGGTGTGTAGAAACCGATTTAACCAATAAACCGAACTGAAAAAAATACTATTGGTTTATTGATATTGGGTTATTGGGCTAACAATTTTTAAACAGTTTTGCAAAAAAAATTATTGGGTTATTGGTTCAGTTTCCGGTTTTATGATTTTTGTTAATGGTTAAACCGATAACCCAATAAGACTATACTAAATTTACTAGTCTTATTGTTAATGGTTAAACGATTGTTACTTTCACACTTTTTGTTAATGGTTAAACGATTGCTACTTTCACACTTTTTCCTTTGAATGTGTCTAGTGTCTGAACTTGCAAGAAAAATAATAGTTACTTTTATGATTATTACTTTCACGCCAAATGCTGGAGGAAAAGTCATATGGTTTATATGAAAAATTTCTTATCTGTATATAATATATATGAGTATTTTCTTATTGGTTAAACCGAAAACCGAACAGTTAAGTACCATAAACCGATTAACCAAAAATCGATAAGAAATATGTTATTGGTTTGGTTATCGGTTTGACGTATTTACAAACCGAAAATCGATAAACCGAACCAATAACACAGAAAACCGAATCGAACCGACCGATGCGCACCCCTAGTCTATGTAATGACGAAGAACAATAAAATATATCCAAACTTTTATATCTATTAAAATAAAATAGTATTATGAAACAATACATAACTACCATCCACACATAGTGTCATGGTCCGGTCCTTACGTGGTGGGCCAAAAAGTATATTGGGCTTTCAGCAAAAATCATGAAAGTGAAAGGTGTGGGCCATAAAAGGTCCGTTTCTTACGAAAAAGGCCAAAATTCACGTCAATATCAGCAAAAGTTAAGCATTTAGCCAAGGATTTTGCAAAAGTAGCCTCTTTTTCCTCTTAAAAGTTTTCAATATTAAAATGATCTTTGTTACAAATGTGAAGAAGTGTGGAGGACACGGATTAAGATAGATGGTTAGTTTAAGTAGTTAAATGTAATCTCGTTTGATTTTTAATACTGGTGGTCGTAATATT